CAGATCCAGCATTTTGTTCTGGGTGCAGCTTTAGCACTGACAGACTTCTGGCTCCTTGGATGTTTCACAACATGTATGTTTAAAATAAATTCTGTTGAACATCATAAAATAATTTTAGAATTCTGGCACTGTTCAGTGAGGTTACTGGCTATCAACACAATTATCTTGTCTAATGTGTGTCATAAATAGAAAATGTCAGTGAAAATAAATACCATATGGGTGCAGTGAGCTATGGCATCTTAAAAAGTGCAGAACACAATAACAGAGAAGTTTTGTAACTTACATAGTTAACTAATCCACTTCTAGAATACAATTTTGTGCAGTGTGTAGCCAGTAGATTTAAAGAGAAATTAGATGAGATTGAGACATTTTCCTTCTGTTGTGCATAATGAATCCTGTAATAGTAACATAAATAAGGGAACAGCAAAACTTTTCCTTAATAGCTAATTAAATATCTCACATACCACCCAACTCTTCTATGATTCAAGATGAAAATTTCAATATCGGTCTGCTGTAGACTAAAAAATGGAGCAACATAAGGAAAGAGAGACCACCTACCTATAGTGCATAAGACATTTGGCCATAAATTAGCAGAGTCCTCTGTTGGCTTCACTGCAGAACCCAGATAGATCACGTTGCCAGAATATGTTGTCTCAGCCATTCTCCACACAGAACCCAATTAAGAAACTTTTTTTTCCCCTGAAAAGCACAAAACTAAGTAAAATTACACAGTTTTGCAGATGACTCTGTAACTGCTTCTTTAATGTTTTTAACTCATCTTTGTTATCAAGATTGTTCGGTGAAAAATATGGGGAATATCTCTAGCATGTGCATTAGAAATTGGGCTCCTTCATCTCTCTTTGTGCCTTCGTATGTGAGAATGCCCTGATTTTTGCAAGTGCTGACTGATCAGTAGCTTCCATTAAAGACAATTTGCTTATTTGACTACAAAGGCTGCCTCAAGGCAGGCATTATTGTTTTGAGATCATTTTAAGACACGTTGGATTTTTTTTTGGTGCAAATAGAAGTTTGTGTGGTGGGGAAATTAATTCCAGCCTGGCTGTGCCTGTTGAAGAATGCTTCAGGTCAGTGAAATGTCTGGCAATGAACAACTCCTGTTTTGTTCACAGGAGCGCTAAGCCCTTTGGCACCAAAGAAGCTTCCATAAAGTAGCATTTTTGATCATGGTTAGTCTCCAACTGAGTGAATTGTACTTGTCTGTTTACTCCTCCCTCTGTAAATATGCTAGAAGAACTCATCCATAAGGAAAAAAAAAATAGAATGAGGTCTTTTCCTCAGTTTTTTTATTCCAAAGTGTTTTTTTTTCCCCCCTTCCTATTTCTATTGGGGAAATAAAATTGTTTAGTAAAGAAAATAGAAATCCACCTTTGAAGTTTTGTCTCACCTGGTGTTGTTGCATTGACTGTGAGCAAACCTCATCACAATCTCTCCTTAAGGACCCCAGTTAAGGGATGTGAGGGAATTAGCTGTTGATAGCTTGTGCACCTGCCACTCACCGACAATTTCTCTTGCCTGTGTTTCTCCTTTTTATTTCCCATTTTGAAGATAGAGGTGGATGATTGTCCCACAGATGTGAAAGAGATGGTGGGAATCATTCTGTCTTTGTGTCTTCCATGTCTCTCATCCAGCCTTATTCTTATCAAGTGTGAGAATAACTTTGGTGTTCTTGCAGTCAGAGACAGTGCCAGTTTGAGGGTAAGGGGTTGAGCCCATTGAAAGGAGTAGGGATTTGCACAGGCCCCACATCACAGTCTGCTAAGCACCATCTTAGAGAATTACTCTGATTTTACAGCAGCAGTACTACATCTGATGTCACGAAAAACTTAGTGGTGAATATTGACCAAAGAAGTGGTCTAATGTAAAGTGCATCTGGAAATTCACTCTTGTTGCAGTCCTGCGAGTGTGTGCCAGATGAGCAGGCAGGACTATAATACAACAGAGCATTTCTTTAAGCTTAATCAGTTTCAAAGAACATTTGTGCTAAGAAGGGAACAAAGATGAGGCTGGGTCAGACAAGGGCTCCGTCCATCCACAGGAGCCAGCCAGCAGATTGGAGGAGCCTGACACAGCCCCAGAAGCAGGCAGTTATTCAATAACTTACCCAGAAGGAATACTTAGCCCTAAACATCTGGGTAATCCCAAAAAGCAGGAGGTTTTATCTTTCTGGATTATATTTATTCCAGCTGTTTATGTAACACTGAGTAGCTGCAGAAGGGTCCTTCTCGCACTGTAAACAGCAGCGTGAGCGTGGTGGCTGTGCCATGTATGATGCTTAGCCTGTGACCAGAAACACAAAGGGACAGGTCACAAGCAGTGTAATGCTGCTTCTGGAAAAAATGTCATCTAGTGATGGTGGGGAATCTTTGTGGTGGGGAAATACCAGTTTCAGAAACAAGTCTTCTCTTGGAAGACTCTCCTCGGGCTGGCTCTGCTCAGGTGTTGCATTTGGTATTTGATTCTTCATGACTTAGCAAAATAGACATATAGGGCTCTTACATAATAATTCAAAGGCAAAACTGTGCATTCCTGGAATAGTTAGTAGTAAGTAAAGTGAAAAACAAATACTGCCTTAGACGAGAAGCAAGTGCAGTTGCTTTTGGTGCTCCCCTGCCCTGCTCAGGGGCGAGAGGACTTACTGAACTGGAGAGGTGGCATCTCCAGAGCAGTGTTTACATTTTCCCTCTCAGACTTTGTCTGAACTTAGTTTTGTCCAACTATAAGATGGACAAAACTCTTCAGCTCCTCTCCTAGCACTTTGCCAGCAGCAGCTCCCAGGCAGAACAGAAATGTGTGCTGGTTGCTTCAGAATTCCCGAGAACAACAAGAAGCCTCCAGGTTTGGTGTCTTGTTAGTAGCCACGTCAGTGGCCCCACTTTCAAAGGAGGCTACAGGGGCACTATCTGTAACCAGGTACCCAGCTGAACCTGCACCTTACATACTTCTTTACAAGTGTTTGATTTGCAAAAGTGTGCTGAGCTGTCACACTTTTACACCAAGAGCTGAAACTCAGCCACAGTGACGTGGGGGACAAGAGTTTTGTTGAAAAATTCTGGGTGAAGCGACATGGTTTCTCTGTGCAAGTGCAGCACTATCTGCTTTTGTTCAAGGTGTTTCCACTTGAAGCCCAAATGTGTTTCCGTTCATATGTATTCAGCAACAGGACCTTTTAAAACATTTTTTCCTTTCCAGTTGAGTTGGGGAGTCAAATACTTTTTTCCCTCCCTCACCTGTGCTCACTTTGTGCTGCTCTGTTTACTTGCAGAAGACGTTACTGATGGAGAACAGGATAATGACAAGCTGACCAAGTCTCCACCTCCTCCACCTCCACGGCGCAGTTACCTGCCAGGGTCAGGGCTAACCACAACGAGATCAGGAGAGGTCGTCTATGCAGCCAGGAAAGAGGCTGCTCCTGTCAAGGTTTGATGATTCAGACTCTAGGCAATCAGACTGTTGATGAGTAGCTGGCACAGAGAAACACTCCCAGGCTTGGTCTGTGTCTATAAACCACAAAATAAGTTGAGACAGCTACGTCCTGGAGAGCTACTGAAACTGCCTACCAGGAAACACTACTGTTAGGCCAAATGAACAAGTAAGGTTTGGTCAGTTCTGTTTACAGGAGTCTTGCTGTTCTTACCTCCTAGCAATGTAGAATGCAAGTCACAGGCTGCTTTCATTTAGAGTGGTAAGAAGATTAAACATTAAAAAAAGAACGCCTTACACAGATGGGGAAGATCAGCTCAGATTTGAGAGTGTTTTTACAGAAATGTTGCGAATTAGTTTCTTTGGGCTTCCTTTCCCCATCTGTTCTGTTCCCTGAAGGAAGTGGAGGGAAGTCCAAGTTAGGAAGCTTTTTAATATGTGAACATGCTATCACATCAGCAATATTGTTTGCTTTTGAACTAATGAGGTAGCAGTCTCCTTAAAAAGGAAGAGGGACCTTGCAACAGGGGAATTGCAGTAGTGTTAAATTTTCTGTGTTTGCTTTGCATCTGGAGGGCTCAACTATATTGTCTCGCTGCTTTCTCGTGCCCTTGCAGGAATCCAATGAAGATTCTGGACAAATAGCGCAATCCAAAGTCCCTAAAGAGGATCAGGCATTGTCTCAAAGCACAGGGCACACTGTGGCATCAGCTCCAAAAGATGAAGAGGAAGAGGAAGGAGATAAAATAATGGCAGAATTACAGGTATGTCTTTTGGATTGCACATGAAGACACCTGTGCCCAAGAACACTTCTAGGGCCTCAGCACAATTTGTAGCTCTGAAAACGAAAAAAAAAAGTAGGTCTGCCAGTCTCACTTGGTCCCCCTTTATTGCACTGGGTGGTACACGTTTTGAAAGCACCACCCAAATTTTTTTCAAGAGGTCTGGAGCTGAGAGACTGGTCAAGAATGCACTGGCTGCAACTGGTGAATCTTACACACTTAAGATGGGACAAGTGAAATATTGGTGTGCATTTGGTGTGGTTGTCTCTGGCCTAGCATTTCTCACTTAGTATCAGACTGGCAGGGTGCTAAGAGCCCGTCATTCATGTTAACATTGGTGGGAATGGGGAATACAGGGTCTGCTCCTGGCGGGCTGTGCTCACTTGTTCTGTGCTATGGTCCAATGTTTCCTGGAGTGTTTGAACATTGAAACATTTGCTGTTTCCTGTTGTGTAACTGGTACATTACTCTGCCGATGGCATAGAAGTAGTGCTGTCTTGCTGGTTGTTTGCTTGATAACACATAGGCCGGTTTAGTCCAGTGATGGCGATGCTGCAGTAAAATCCAGCAATTCCAGCTACCGTCAGTGAGCTCCAGCTTCAAAGGGGCACCCTCTGTCCTCTCCCATGCCCACATGAGGAAAGGAGATGTGGATCAGCTTAACTGGCTAGAACTTCTGATGTTGGGGTGTGTCAGTGCACTGTCACAACATGAGATGATCCCAGCTGCCCACCTGCCAAAAGCGGGGTTTGGTGCTGCCCAGGTAGTGTTTGCAGCACAGGAGACATGGATATTGAGCAGCAACTGTTATGTGTGATGGGTGCACCCTGCCCTTCTGCTCAGCTGTCACCCACCAGTGCTTCAGACAGCTGGTTTGCAGGGAGTGAGAGCAGCAGTGTATCCTTATTCCTCATTTGTGTGCTAATGGCTAGAGCAACAGGATAGCTGGGGACAGTGCAACTGTCGCATCATCTCCTGTCTCTAGGAAAGCAACCTGGCTGCCTTGCAACTGGTGACAATGAAGTGGAGGTTAAAGTCTGAAAAGGGGAACTGAGGGGAACTAAGGAGGAGAAATAGGCATGATAGCTCAACAGGGAATGAGTGTTTAAAAGCTAGTTCTGGGGACAAGCAATGCTTATTTTAAACAAATACCAACCAGGTGTATTTTAGAAGGTTGTCAGAGGATGATGTTTTAGAAAGAGCAAACTCCTCGGTCCAGGAGCTACAGGCTCATTATTCTGATACTAGTCACAGGCAGAATAATGGAAAATCAGGCGTGGGATTCAATCAGTGAAGAACTAAAGGACAGATATTAACAGTTACACTAGTAAACACAATGTAATGGAACACAGATATGTCAAAGCAAACAATACTCTGTTCAGGTAACAGGTTTGACTGCTTAAACTGAATTGTATACCTGTAAACATTTTTGTAAGTAATTTGATCAAATATCATACAACAGTCTGAAAAAAACCTGGCACCGTAGATTATACTAAAAAAAACCCAAACCAAACACCTATCAAAGATGATAGAGGGCTGTCTGGCTCTGAAAGTGCTGCCCTTCATGCAGGTGTTTATAGTCAGGTCCCATAGGGATCAGCTACAGGCCCAGTGTCACTGTATTTTCATCGACAGCCTGGGAATACATCTAAAATCCTTACCTGTTTAAACAGGCTTAATTCAAACCAGTGAAGTGTGAGAGCAGGGAGATGATAGCAATCACTTAATGGTCATAACACGTTCACTGAAATATAAAGTCCACATGTTCTTCAAACAACAAAATATAGGCCAGACTATAACTGCATGTCTTGGAAAGAAACAGGAGTTGCAGTAACAAGTTGACAGGAGCTCCCAGGTCAGTGCTATTGCCACAAAGTTAGTTTCTGCTGTGGGTATAGATGTAAGAACAAAAAGTGTTTTTATCTCTGTGTACAGGATCAGTGAGATCAGCACTGGGCTGCTGCATCCTTGATTAACTATTTGTGCATCTCCTGTTTGAAAGGGTGTTGTTAAGAATATGAAGGTACTTCCATGTGAAGTGTCTTTTTGATCTAGCAAAAATAGGCATAATAATGAACAGCTGCTGTAGCACAAACTGTATTTGGACGCGGTTATAATATTTTGGAGCAAAGGTGAGAAATAAACAAATTACCAAGGGAAACAGTGGATTCTTCATCACTTAAAGTCTGAAGGACTTTGAGGATGCCCTTGTAGATGGTATGCCTAACTCAAAAACACAACTGGTCTCAAAAATAGGTAAGATGGGGAAAGTCCATACCCTCTATTATGAGGACCGAGACTACTTTTTCTAATAATTGGTGTCATCTTACGTACTCTGCTCTGTAAACACATACAAATAGGATGTAATGGAAAACCAGAAGAAACTCTACACCCTGATTTTTGCATTGGATTTTTTTCATTATTGTTAACTTTTCCGATTTTGCATAAACATGCAAAATATATGAGAAGTACAATATTTGAAGAACAAGCCTGATTCTGATCTGTAATCAGGGCTATTGATTTCATGAGATTTGCCAGGAATTAAATAATTTCCCTAATACATGGTATAAGAATATAATCTTCTTGTGTGTCATGGTGTGTTTGGCTCCTGTAAGCACTCCTCTCTCATTCCTCTGGCTGGCAGAGGTGTCCAGCCTGTACATCTCACTGAAGGCAGACCATGCCAGTAGGGGCCTGCAGAAATCTTGGTGATACACGCTTGCAGCCAGTACTGCACAGTTGTGACAGTGATGGTTCTGCTCCTCTGGTGCCGGGAACCAGTTGGATAGAGAAACCCAAAGGAAATGGAAAGAGGCGAGCAAGATAAAGGCCTGAAAAGTCCAGGCCCTGCCCTGGGTACGCATGATAGGAGGCCAGTGGTCCACAGCGCCCGATGTTGGGACTGTCACCATCTGGAGCATTAGTGAGGACTGTGGCAAAGACACATATCTCAAAGTCTAAAGTTCTAATAACAGTTTGTGTGGGGAGGGGTGGAGTTATGTAGCTCTTGCATGATTATTAGCCACTAGAAAGTAGGTACTGTCACAAGCCCAAAGTTTGCCATAGGCTTCCTACTTAAATTTAGATAGTTGGTAGCACATCTCTGTGCCTTCACTTCCCCATTTGTAAAAGCATAAATCAAGCTCATCTCTCTGCAGGGAATATTGAGATCAGCATGATGAGTTAGAGTGCAGTCTTGGCAGGCTGGAGGGGACGCCCTGTGTCTTTCAGTCTGATAGTCTAAAATCTCTATTATCTCAGGAGCTTGTAGATAATATTGTTGAGCTGTGAATGTTAAAAACAAATGCTCTCTTTGTAGTTAGTCATCTCCAGACATTTCTGCGTAAAAGCTACTTGGTCTCCTGATAACCTGCAGTATTTATTTCCTAGGCTTTCCAGAAGTGCTCTTTTATGGATGTAAACTCAAACAGTCATGCTGAACAGTCCAGAAATGATACACATGTTAAAGACATAAGGCCTGGGACTTTAATGCATCACAAGGAAAAGAAGGTAACAAGTGGCATTTGTAAACATGCCACCCACTCTTGGCATAACCTTCTTTCCTTCGAAACTAATCTTATATCTTATGTCCTGTTCTGTCTAACCCCCACCCATCACTGCCCAGGGGTTTCCTTCCTTTTATCTCAGTATGGCTCAGAAACACTCATATGGAATGTTATATCAATCTACATTAGGTGTCTCATCAGCAATTATACAAGGGTTTTATGAAGTCAAAATTGAAAGACGATCCATCAGTTTCCACCAGAGATGCTCAATCTACTCACAACAGCCTTCCAGAGCTGTTCTGGCAATGGACAGTGAAGCATCTCTCCTAAGCCTTGTTCTTGTCTTGAGGAGAATTAGTGGTCCTCTCAGTCTCAAGAGCCACTTTAACAGAAACTGAGGCAGGGAGAGAGAAAATGGTTTTGCCAGGTCCCCAAGGCAGAGAAGAACCCAGCTGCCCTAACCACAGCGAGCTGCATCTGCACAGGGCGCTGCAGCTGTAAAGCACAAGGTGACACCTAGATGGTGGTGTCTGATATATTATTAGCATCAAAATCCATACCCTGCCAGAAGGTATTTCTGACAGGTCAGGGCATTGCACACAAGGACATGGCTTGGAGCTGCCCAAGCAGCAGTTCTGGTCTAAAGCTGCAGACACCTGGCTGGGTGAGGGTTCAAGTTCATGGGCACGAGTAAAAGGGAAAAATTGCTTTGTTGTGGAGTATATGACAGTGTTACAGAGAAAAATAAAAAGCATGAATGTATCTCTATTCATCCTCATTACTGCTGGTGTCAGAATGAGGAGATCACGTTGTTACATGAAATCCTGGGTCACCACACAAGACACTGCACATCCTGTAGCACAAGCGTTTCTTTGAAAGGTGCTGCCAAGTAATTGCCATAAACTGCTATTTACTGGAATAACAGAGTCCAGGAAATAATTATGGTTAATGAGATCTGGTTTTGTCATCTGACATGACAGAGTGCTTATTGGCTTTAAATTTGGAGACTTACGGTCATGATAAACTTGTAGAGGAAATGAATTTAGTTGTGGTTTTATTTTTGAGTAGAAGGCAGCAGTTCATAAAATTAGATATGTTGTACAATGACACCATGAGATGTTGCCCTAATGCTTGGAACAAGAAGTGGAGCTTGCTACAGAAGATAAAAGAGAAATGGGAACTCAGTCACTGAGTCAACATATCCCGAGGCAACAAGTGCCATTAAATGGCCTGGCCTAATTCTGGGAGCTCTGACATGGAACGGGACTGGGAGGCGCTTACCACACAGCAAGCCTGGGCCTGAGGTAACCACAAGCCCTGGCGTTCTGTTTTGATACCAGCTCTCAGCACCAAGTGCGGACGGTGTCAGCCTGCCCACTGAGGCCTTGCTGGCTGTGGCTGGTTTGTGTGATGGCTCCTCTTTGTTTAGAAATATGAGGGATGTCAGGGTATCCATGGAGCAGCTGCACAGCCTTGGTACTTGTAATGAGCCTTTGTGGAAATGAACTGTGACTCTGGTCTGTCGCTGACTTTCTCACTCCTGCATTTTGTTTGTGTGTAAAGTTTTTCTGTGTAAAATCCTCAGTATATAAGAAAATACCACATGAGATGTAGAAGCTGTACGTTGTGATCCTATGTATGCATGGGGAGTACACGCACTGGCCAACCCGTGGATTTCTGTGCCGTCACTCATTCATCTCAGCTGGGAGGGCAACTCTCCTGACTGATCTTCTGCACGTCTTGATGCTCATATGAGTATAATCTGTCCTTCCGGTGTGTTAGGTGTCAGCTTCTAGTCTCAAGGAATGTCAGCAGTAATGCTTCAGTGCCTTCAGGCAATTGAGGCCAGATTAATTTCCTTCTTGTCGAGCTGTCTTTTGACTGGAGATTTCTCTCTTGCTCATTCACAGGCATGGTGTCTCTTCAGGTCATTCCCTCACTCTGATGATTGGTGTTTATCCTAAGGTGTCACTAGCACTTAACAAACCAAGCCCCAAATAAAAGCCTGGTATTATGAAACAGCATCTCCAGAGGAGCTCATTTGAAAATAAAGAAAAAAGTCCCCTTAAATTTGCATTGCTGACAACATACTACTTTTGAGCTAGTGGATGACCTCTGTGTGTGCTGTTCGGAGTTGTTTCTATAAACGAACAGTAGCTCAATGTTTCATTCTGCACTTTCATGGGTGCTGGAGGGTGCTGCTGGTAATTTTGAAGGAGTACTTTTAAGCTGCAGCAAGGATTTAGGAATGCTCAGACTGTGATCATATTAACTGTGATGGAACAGTCCTTCTCAGGTGCGAGCGACATTAGAGGCAGCAAAATGTCATAATTTGAAAATCAGCTTTTACTGATACAAAACTTCTTTTCAAGGCCAGCCAGGCTCTCGCATTTGGCTCTCCGGTGAGCTGGCATGCCCTAGTGCCCTGCTGCCAGCCCTTCCACATCACGCTTCCTTTGATGTGTCCCATCGTGAATCTTTTCAACTTCAATCTTATACAAACTAGGGATTTTTTTTTAACTGGAAAGTAAGCAGGTCAAGGTAGCACTGTGTTGGAAATAAGGTAACTAGTGTGCTTTTGCATATTCTGGAGGCCTTGTTAAGACAGGAGCCCTAAGTGGCAACCCGCGCTGGCCACATGCATAGCACAGCACAGTAACGTCATGTGCTGTTCTGCCAGAATTTGTAATTTTGCCCTGAAGAAAGACAGAAGTCAGATGACAACTTCAGGCATGCCTCTGCAGCAGTAAACAGAGTGGTGAGTTCACAAGGTCTGCACTTCCCCTGAGAATATGATGATTTATTTGGGGGAAAAAAAAGTCCTGTAAAGGTGACAGCCCTGAATAACTAAGTAATCCAACTTTCCCCCTTAGGTGTATGGGGCTACAACAGCATCTCCCACAGATAGTGACCATCCTAAAGAGAAGAGGGAAGGGAAAACTGAAGAAGAATTGGGTTCTGATTCATCCAGCACAGCTGAGAGTAAAATTGCCTTTTCAATGAATGACAGTCCTACATTTAGCAAGGGTTTGTTTATAGACAGTAGAGACTATTCTAAGAAAAACATCCAGAATATGAGCACAAACCTGTCTGGTGTCAGTTTGCCAGAGGATGACAAGCGAAAAGAAGTTCAAGATACCTTAGGACCCCATTTTCCAGCTGTTGAAACTGGAAAACAAAAGCCAAACTATGGACTCCCACGAGATGCTCAGCAGGTCCTGCTGCAGGGTGAAGCCTTGCAGACCACAGGCAAGCACATCCCCATCACCAGTGTTGCCCCTCTCATGAGGCACACGCAGGAGGCTGCAGGGCCTCAGCCTTCCTCGCAGCAGCAAGAAGCTTCTGCAGTCAACTACAATCAGGTTGTGCTAAGACCCAAAGTGTCCAGAAGTAACAGTGTGAACAGTATTGAAGAGACAGACTCCTCGACTAGCTCTCCAAGTGAAGACAACCCACCCACAGAAAACATCGCCTTCATGATTACTAAAACAGCTGTCCAGGTCCTCTCGAGTGGGGAAGTTCACGATATAGTCAGCCGGAAAGGTGGAGATGTGCAAACAGTGAACATCGATGCGAGGAAGGAGGTGGTGTCAGAGAAGGGAACCCCAGAAAACACAGACAGCGAAGAGCCAGTGGTGTGTCTGGACAAAAAACCCGTCATCATCATTTTTGATGAACCGATGGATATTAGGTCAGCTTATAAGCGGCTTTCTACAATTTTTGAAGAATGTGATGAGGAGTTGGAGAAAATGATGACAGAGGAAAAGATAGAAGAGGAAGAGGAGGAGGAAAATGAAGCACATGAAATCTCTGAGAACCAGAAGGAAGAGCTACCAGTAGTTAACGACAGAAAAGCAATTGCAAAGTCTTCAGCAGCTCACAGTCTCAATGAGCAGTATATATTTAACCCTTTGTCTTCCTCTGACCCTGTAGAAACCAGACCTCCTGCAGAGGAGGAGAGCACAAAGATGAATTTTAACAAATACCGTCAGATCTATGGACTAAACACAGAAGCAAACTTGGACTCCACTGATCAGTTTGGAAGCAGGCAAGATTCTAAGAAAAAATTTAAGTTCAAATTCCCTAAAAAGCAGTTGGCTGCTCTGACACAGGCAATAAAAACAGGAACCAAGACCGGGAAGAAGACCCTGCAGGTTGTGGTCTATGAAGAAGAGGAGGAAGATGGGACCCTGAAGCAGCACAAGGAAGCAAAGAGATTTGAAATCACCAGATCTCAGCCAGAGGACAGTGACAAAAGTCCTTCTGGGAAGCAAGAGGGACCCTCTGGAGCTGCAGTGTCCCTGTCTAGGACTGATGAAATTCGACAGAGTACATACCGAACGCTAGACAGCCTTGAGCAGACTATAAAGCAGCTGGAAAACACCATCAGTGAAATGAGTCCAAAATCTATCCCTGAAAGCACATACAGCTCTGAGGGAAGCACTGTCCCCTTCTCTGCCCAGATAGTACCAGAGACCCCACCCCGAGAGCTTGTAGTGCTGGATGAGAGCCTTGCTGGCGTAGAGCCCGCTCCGCCAGTCCCAGCCACTTCACGTAAGGTACCTCAGTCCGAGAAATCAAACCTCCAGCTGCTTTCTAAAATCTGCAATAATCACCATTAAACAAGAGGGTCTTGTGATTTGTTTGCTTCCTTTCAGGTGGCTTGTTTGGGCTCCCCATGAGGTGTCTAACAGCTAATAGACCATTGGGTTGTTTGGTTTTTTTTTTAATCTTTGCTGCTGATTGGTGATGGGCAAATGCAGGGGAGCTGGGTCAAATAATCTGCTGTGTGAAATGATGAGCGTCACTGACATGAAACTCAGGCTGATCAGTAGCTGAGCAGTTTTCTCCATTTGATTCTGGAAATTAACACCTGCGGTGTGAAGCTCCTGAACTTTCCCTGCATGTAGTACTGTGGCTTTTTTTTTTTTTTTTTTTTTTTTGGTGCATGGTGTGCAGTCTCCTCATCAAGCACACGGGTACTGATCACACCTTCTCCTTGTCTCCCCTCCCTGCCCCTCCACTTGTTTCCGCAGGGCTCCAGCACTGCCTCCCAGACAAGCCGGATGCCAGTCCCCATGGCTTCAAAAACTAGACAAGGAAGCATGGAGAAAGCAGGCAAACAGCACAAGCTGCAGGATCCACGCCAATACAGACAGGTAGTTTTACCCTAAACCCAGTGTTTGGATGGACATTTCATGTTGTTTATTTAAAAACTCCAGTAACTGACTGAGATTATACCAAATAATGGATGCCTGACTTTTGGGTGAGGTCTAACTGGATATCCTGGATCCTGGGGGCATGACAGTATCTACTTAACTTTTCACCATGCTTGTGCATGCATGTCTGCAATAAAACACCTGCTGCTTTTGTTTTCTTTTTTTGTTTGTTTTTGTTTTTTAAACTGTGGTATTCAGCTGTAATTTTAAGATATCAACTACCTGTTTACTTTCCCTTTGGTAAATGTGGCAGTTCCTTAGGAGAGCTGGGAATGCTTCTGTTCAGAGAGTCTTTACAGGAAGCCTTGGACACTAACCTGTTGGTGTAATAGACGGCAGTAGATGCACATTAACTTTCCAGACAGACACGTCTGTTCACACGTTAATAACCCAGAAGCATGGCCCATGTAGTGACTGGTTTGTAACCCATAGCTCACACCTCCTCACAGAGCTTTGTTGGCTCGCTGTCTCTGTCTCTCACTATGCATTCTTCGCTGGGCACTTCGGGTTTTCTACCAGGTCCAGTCCACAGCTGCAAGATTTAGCTCAGGCCTCCAACCGTTAGTTTTTGTTCTCTGTAGGGGTGTTTTCCCAGGTCCTGTTGGTTTATCATGTTACTGGCTTTCTGACAAACTGTCTCCTGCCATCTTTATTTGCAGGCTAATGGAAGTGCTAAGAAAGCTGGTGGGGACTATAAGGCTACTTCCCCTACCCTACCTGCTTCTAAGATCCCAGCCTTTTCTCCCACTTCTGGGAAAAGCAGCTCAGCACCTGCTTCTAGCAGTGACAGCTCTCACCCTCTTAATCCACCTACTAAAACCTCCATTCCTTCCTCTAACCTTCTCGCTCCTCAGACAGGTCGCATAACTTACTCTACCTCCCTCATCCCCTCTGTCTCTAACGGCTCCTCCAAGTTTCAGAGCCCCACTTACCCAGGGAAAGGTCACCATCTCTCGTTCTCACTACAGACTCAAAACGGCCGGCCACCCCCTCCTTCCTCCTCTACCTCCCCCCCCTCCTCTACCTCTCCCACTTCATTGAACCAAGGTATGAAGAGCATCAGGACAATCCACACACCTAGCTTCACCAGCTACAAGGCACAGAATGGAAATGCCGGCAAGTCCACCCCAGCCACAGCCAAGGAGCCATCCTAAAGGCTAAGCACAGCACGCGTGCAAGTTCACCAAGGCTTTTTGTTCATTTTCAAAGAATCTGCAGCCAGTATTTTAACCAGGGAATGTAACCATTTTGCTGTATCGCTGGAGGCTTAATACTAATCACGTGCTAAATACTGAATTACCACACTAGATTAGAGTTAACTTTTTTTGTAAAACTCCGTTGCTGTTGTAATGATACGAGTGTTTTCTTCCTATAGGCAGCACCGCTTACAAAAAAGTGTGAAGGTGTGTGAGTGAATTGAGTGTGTGTGCACAGCAGTGTACTGAGCATGGGAAAATGTATGGTTAAAAATTTAGTAAGTTGTTTTGTATAAAGCTATTTTTCATTATGGGGACTAGAAGTGAACAGAGATATACTAAAGTGTGATTATACACGACTGTAAAACTGAAACTAAAATATTTTTCTTTTATTTTGGTGTTATTTAGCTTTGTTACAGATTTCTATTTTTGTCAACAACTGTCATGGTTCCTTTCAAGATCTTTTTGCCAAAACATTTTGATACTATTGTAATGTACATTTGAAAGTAGTATGCTGGACAGTAAACCTCTACACAAGAAACAGAACAAGACTGGTCTTAGTGTGTATGAGGCAACTCAACTTATTGCACTGCCATTCAGATTATATTTAAAATTTGCCAAGCCAAGAAAAAAAAAATAATCTTTTACACATATAGGTAGTTGCTGATTACTTTTTTTTTTCCTTAGCTAACTTCACTGTTTTCTTTCCGTTTTATTTTACTGAGACCTGGTAACCCATTAATGTATTGCATTCTGGATTTTAAAATGTACACTTCTGTACTGTTCTGTATACTGGCAAACTTTTGTACATATCTATAAATATATATAAATAAATAAATGCTGTATGTGGCTGGGCACATAGAGTAGTTTTACCACGCCAAAGTTAATTTTTATGCATGCTTAAAAATATATATGGGGAAAGGTTGAAAAAGATGGATATCATTCAATAGGAAAAAAAAAAAAGCAAGAAGCTTGCATAGCTCATGGTTTTGTAAATAAATTTATTTGTATAACACCATAATGTAATATACAGAACTATGATAAGCAAAGATCTTTACAAAAATAAAGGGCTGCATGCTTATATATTTGTATTTTGTCACAATAACTTTTAGAATGGTCTCAAGCAGCTGTTAAGCTGTTTGCCCAAAGGGAAAAATTGACTTTTTTTTTTTTCCCAGATTAAAGCCATACGTAAGTATTCATTTTAAAATGGAGTCTTTCAAATTTATGTGGACAAGGCCTAATTGTTGGAACTCCAGGTTAGAAAACTAGCAAGATAAAAAAGCACACCCAAACCTTTGACCAATTGATTGAGGTATCATTCTTCCACCTTTTAACTATTCTTTGTTTTATTCCTCCTCATGAAACAGGAAGTTTCTTACAAGTGTCATTTCAAGGCCGAGCCCTCAGATGGTGCATCCCTTACAGCAGAGTAATTAAAGAATGTAAAGGTTAACTCATACCTCATGAACACGACACACAGTCTAGTTCCAGCAGCGCTCACGCCGAGTGCCACCCCCCACCCCGCTGGCACAGCAGCCAGAACACCGGAGCTGCGGCGTCAGTCTGAGAGCCAAGCTCAGGCCAAGTGCAGTGGCCTCAAAGCCAAGGTGAAGCAGAAGGCGCAGTTCAGAGAGCTCACCCTGACCCATCAGTTGAAGCCAGTTCCCTTCCAGCCGGTTCAGAGAAGTGGCTCCAAAGCCTGGTCTATGCTTCAGGTGGGAAAAACCCTGTAAGAACTGCTGTCACACTGCACACCCTGGGCCATGCACTTTCCTAGGGTGCCTTCTGCCTTGTCAGGTGTTGAGTACACTCCCTTGCTCTGAAGGGAACAAGCCCAATCCAGTGCCATGTCTTGTTACCAAGTGGGGCTCTGTTGCATGTTCCAGTACACCAGAGAGCAAATACAGAGAGCACAAGGAGGCTGGGTACCAGCTTCTCCGTCACAGTGCACAGGCAATGCACTAGTTCAAGCTAAACGAGGTTTTGTTCTTAAGCTGTTGGTCTGATGTCCACCCAAAAAACAGTAACTTGCTGATACCTGATGCTCCTTGAGA